AAACAATAACACATAAACAATAAAACATTAAAAAATAAAAAATAAAAATAAAATAAAATAAAATAAAGAAAAGAAAAGAAAAGAAAAAACCAATAATAATCAAAAGCTGTTTCAAATACATGAGGTTGAATATTTTCCTTATTCTGGCTTTAACTGACAAGAAATGTAAATTTTTATTACATGACATATCTGAACATAGGTTTTGCAATTTAGTATTCCTAATTTTCTCAGAATAAATATGTCATGTATAAGTTATATTTAGAGGCAGAATATGATAAAAACACTTAGCTTTCTCTTATTTAAAAAACGTATTTATAGCTGTGTCTACTGAGGGTGTAGAAGCAATAATCCCCCTAGAGCAGCAAGATACCCAGTGACTGAGTCTTGGTTTCTAAAATAACACTTTCCAGTAAAAGGAACCAAGTCTCTGAAGAAATGGCTGATTCTGGGTCTGGGTAGGGAAAATTAAAAACCTAAGATAAATGCCAAAACTTGGGAGCAACCAAGGTATCCCTCGGCAGGTGAATGGATAAACTATGGTCCATCCAGATTAACAGAATATTATTCAGCACTAAAAAGAAATGAGCTATCCAGACCTGGAGGAACCTTGAATGTATACGACACTAAGTGAAAGAAACCACTCTTAAAAGGCTACTTACTCTACGATTCCAACTATAGGACATTCTGAAAAAGGCAAAACTCTGGAGGCAGTAAAAAGAACAGTGGTTGCCAGGGATTAAGAGGGAGGGAGTGATGAATAGGAAGAGCACATTTAGGTCCTTGATCCATTTTGAGTTTATTTTTTGTGAATGGTGTAAGAAAGTGGTCTCGTTTTCATTCTTCTGCATGTTGCTGTCCAGTTCTCTCAGCACCGTTTGCTAAAGAGACTGTCTTTTTTCCATTGGATACTCCTTCCTGCTTTGTCAACGATTAGTTGGCCATATATTTGTAGGTCCAATTCTGGGTTCTCTATTCTATTCCACTGGTCTATGTGTCTGTTTTTGTGCCAATACCATACTGTCTTGATGTTACAGCTTTGTAGCAGAGGCTGAAGTCTGGGATTGTGATGCCTCCCGCTTTGGTTTTCTTTTTCAGTATTAAAAATAGAACTACCCTACGACTCAGCAATAGCACTACTAGGAATTTACCCAAAGGATACGGGAGTGCTGATGTACAGGGGCACATGCCACAATGTTTATAGCAGCGCTTTCAACAATAGCCAAATTATGGAAACAGCCTAAATGTCTATCAACTGATGAATGGATAAAGAAGATGTGGTTTATATCTACAGTGGAATACTACTTGGCAAAAATGAGAAAGAATGAAATCATGCCACTTGCAGCAACTGGAAGGTATTATGTTAAGTGAAATAAGTCAGTCAGAGAAAGACAGATATCATATGTGTTCACTCATATGTGGAACTTGAGAAACTTGACAGAAGACCATGGGGGAAGGGAAGGAGAAAAAAAATAGTTACAAACAGAGAGGGAGGAAAGCAAACCATAAGAGACTCTTAAATAGAGAACAAACCGAGGGCGAACGAGGGGTTGGGGGAGAGGGGAAAATGGGTGATGGGCATTCAAGAGGGCACTTGTTGGGATGGGCACTGGGTGTTGTATGTAAGCAATGAACCATAGGAATCTACCGCCAAAACACTGTACACACTGTATGTTAGCCAATTTGACAATAAATTATATTTTTAAAAAATCTAAAAAAATAAAATCACCTTTTTGCACCAAAAAAAAAAGGGAGGGGGAAGAGCACAGAGGACTTTTAGGATAGTGAAACTATTCTAAATGATACTATAATGGCAGATATATGCCATTATTACACATTTGTCCAAAACAATAGAATGTACACCACCAAAAGTGAATCCTAATGTAAACTACAAACTTAAGAGTATTAATAATGTGTCAGTGTAGGTTCACTGATCTAAATAAATAAATAAATAAATAAGGGGTGTCTTATAGTACCAGAGAATAAGGAAGTACTCAAAAAACAAAATGATAGGGGCATGTCAAAAGGATATGAGAGTTGATGTGAATGAGTTGCCAACAGCTAAAACTACAACAGTTTGAACAACAAAATACGTAACAGAACTAGAGTATAACCCAACCTATAAAATAAATACATGAGTCCCTCCTGATATAAGTGAGTACAAAAACCACTAAGAGGGAAGTGGTAACAAATGTTCCATACAGAAGAATTCCAAATACCCTACCTTCCAGGAGGTGATGCTTAATTCCATCTCCCACCTCCCTAGAGTGAGGGTGGGCTAGACCTGGTGACTTACTTCCAAAGAACAAAGAAAGGGAAAAATAGTATATTTTCAGTGGAGAAACCCAACAGACACTATTTTAGCCAAGTAATAAAGGTTAATAATATTAATATTAATAAAGGTTAACATGGATGTCACATACCCCCTGATATCAGATCACTTCACCTGTATAGTACTCTTTCCAAAAACCCATATAACCGCAGTTTAAATATGAGAAAAACATCAGACAAATCCAGACTGGGATACATTCTACAAGTCATGAAAAAGAAAAAAAGACTGACGAATTGATACAGACTAGAAGAGACTGGGGAGGCATAACAAACTGGATCCTGGAAGAAGGCACTGCTGGAAAACATGAAATCCAAATAAAGTCTGGAGTGCAGTTAATAGTAATGTATTAACATTGGGTTCTTAGTTTTGTTGGCTGTATCATGGCAATGTACAATAGTAATAATGGGGGAAACTGGGCAAGAGGTATAAAAAAGTCTGCACTATCTGTGCAACTTTTATATATTTAAAAATTGCTCAAAATTAGAAAGTTTATTAAAAACAACAACAAAATTAAACTTTAATATGGAGCCATAAAACCACTAAACCAACATAGATATTTTTTTGAAAAATGTTGACGTTCCAAATTTAACTACCATTTACTCCATTTTGAAAGTCCGCTAAATAGGGGTGCCTGGGTGCTCAGTCAGTTGAGCATCCGACTTCAGCTCAGGGCATGATCAGGTTTGTGAGTTTGAGCCCCGCATCAGGCTCACTGCTGTCAGCACTGAGCCTGCTTCAGATCCTCTGACCCCCAATCTCTCCCTACTCATGCTCTCTCTCTCTCAAAAACAAAACAAAATTTGAAAGTCTGCTGAATAAAATGAAAGAAAAAGCAGAGGGAAGAGTAACAATTTTTCATTGGAGATTAAATCAGGCATTAATCTGAAACATGAGGTACTGCATATTAATAGTCCTAGAACTATGCATATTCAACTAGATACATTTGACTGACTTATTAGAAATACTTCAAAACACATTAAACAATACTGAACCTCCTCTTCTGCCAATTTAATCTTCTGTCAGGTTTCGCTGTACATTGTGTTCTATGGTTTCTTTCACGTTACTGAGAAAGAGGGAACATATTTAATCCACTAGTTGGTATTATAATGGCAAACACTTGGTAAATTTATATCTTTCACGTATTAGGACATTTCTGAGGGGAAGGTACTTTGCCATTAACTTTATAGATAAAAAAAAAAAAGAAAACCAAAAAATTAAGAAAGATTATGCAAAAAACTTGGATGTAAGGCCAAAATGTAAACAGTGTGTCCTTTCAACGGACTATGAGGACACAGACCCATTCAAATGTTATTTAATTGCTTATCAGAAAGTACTCTGCTCTATTATTCTATTTACTATTGAATTAAATACCCCAGATTAAGTAAATTCACATGTTAACTTGTAGATTTTTGTCTAGTAGAGCTGCAAATCATTTCTGTCAGGTAGAAGAGAAAATTCCAAATTAAAGAAATGGTGTCTAGGACATTATTAACCAGTTTGTAACTACCCTAGTAATCTTATTCTAAAATTCCTTTCTTAAATTGCCTATGAATACACAGCTTTTCAAATGCTCTCTGAACTAGTCTTACTCCTTTACTTGTTCCCTCAGTAATTAATGAATTGAATAAAATATTTGATACATGTTCAGTTTATATTTGTATGAGGCATGATTTTAATTAAAAAAAATTTTTTTTTAACATTTATTTATTTTTGAGACAGAGACAGAGCATGAACGGGGGAGGGTCAGAGAGAGGGAGACACAGAATCTGAAACAGGCTCCAGGCTCTGAGCTGTCAGCACAGAGCCCGACGTGGGGCTCAAACTCACGGACCGCGAGATCATGACCTGAGTCGAAGTCGGCCACTTAACCGACCGAGCCACCCAGGCACCCCTTTAATTTTTTAAAATTATGCTTTGAAAGGCATACGGAATTTTCCATGACATGCCTAACATGACCTTTTCCACACACAGCTCTGCAAATCCTACACTCTCACAGGGCTATTACAATAATAGGTTTTCTGGACAGTATTCTGATAGTCTTGTTAATTATCTGGTTATTAGACTTATCAAATAACAATTTCTGTCTCAAAGATAAATCAGAAAAAAGAATCTAAGTAAAGTATATGTTATTTTCAAGACCATGTGATCTGACTTCCAAGACTTTCTGATTTGTCATATGTCGCTCCTGATGGTTCTGTGGGTTAATTTTCTATATTTAAGCCAATTACTTAAAAAATTTTTTTCTTCCATCTGTTCCAGGTACTACTTTTTTTGTTTTTGTTTTTTTTAAATGAAAGGGGCTAATACCTGGCTCTGATGTGAACTAAAACTGCCTTTACTTTCATAAACATGATTAAGTACACGTAAATTGTGAGATTTACGCAAAAAAAAAAAAAAAAAAAAAAAAAAAATTAGCAGAAAGAAAAAAAATCACAACTTCATCTTTCCAGTATTATATTTTTCACTAAAACCAGAAGTCTAGACTACTGTATTTTTGGAAGAAACCTGGTTATTGTGAAATCTAAATGTACTCTGGTGAATTCAAGTGGACTAATTATAAACACTAATTTCAATTTTTAGGTTTTAGCATTGGGAAGAAAAGCATTATTTCACACTTACACAACCCATAATCAGTAGTCTATTAAAGCAAAAGAGAAAGAAAATTCTGTACCCTGACATCACTTCTAGGTGAAGTTGTCCCGAAACAGTTAAGAAAGCAGGAACATTGAAGAAATTCTCCTCAGGCACCTTAATTTTACTTGAAGGCTGCAAATGAAAAACACGAACCACAAAAAGCTATGAGATGTTTTGTTCTACTTTTTGCATTCACATACATGCCACAACTAAAAATTACAATGCAATTAAACATATGTGAGGACAAGTCATTTTCTTAAAAATGGAGGCAGTTCTCAGTATATTCTTAAAAGAGAAGATGCCTACTTGGAAAGTGCTAAGGTCAAGGAAGTTTGCTCTGTATTTTCAAAATGTACAACAACCAAAGGGCAAAGTACTTCTGTCACAAAATACATTTCTGCATAAAAAGTATTTCTGATTGATGGGGCGCCTAGGTGGCTCAGTCAGTTAAGCGTCCGACTTCAGCTCAGGCCATGATCTCACAGTCCGTGAGTTTGAACCCCGTGTTGGGTTCTGTGCTGACAGCTCAGAGCCTGGAGCCTGTTTCAGATTCTGTGTCTCCCTCTCTCTCTGACCTTCCCCCATTCATGCTCTGTCTCTCTCTGTCTCAAAAATAAATAAATGTTAAAAAAAAAAAAAAAGTATTTCTGATTGAGAGACAAGCCAAAGTAAGACATTATGAATTAAAATTTTAAATGTGAAGAATTATAGAATCTCTTAAAATTCTGACCTATGCTTGAGATTTGATTTTCTCAAGGGAATAGCCTCTAGAACATGTGTTGTCCTATTATTAAATTTTATTAATAATGCTTTTAATGCAGATTTTTATAAACACATTATAAACTTTTATATACATTATTTCACTTAATTTCCACCACAACTCAGAGGTAAGAAGAGCAGAACCCTATCTTTAAAAGATATTGGGAGCAACTGGGGCACCTGGGTAGCTCAGGTTTAGGTTAAGCGTCCAATTCTTGGTTTTGGCTCAGGTCACAATCTTGTGGTTTCGTGGGTTCGAGCCCCACGTAGAGCTCAGTGCTGACAGGGTGGAGCTTGCTTGGGCTTCTCTCTCGCTCTCTCTCTCTCTCTCTCTCTACTCCCCCCAGCTTGTACTGTCTCTGTCTCTCTCAAAATAAATAAATAAACTTAAAAATAATATTTAAAAGATTGGGAGCAATTAGATTTAAAGATCTTTACAAATTTACAAAAGAGCGTGCTCATTCTATTTGAAACAGGTAGGAAACAAGCCAGGCAACATTTATAACAAGCTAAAAAATTATCTGAAGGTCAACACAATTTAAATAGTATAAATTTAAGGAAGCTTCTGGATCCAGATATGACTATTATACTCACTTTTTTGGAAGAAAATTAATTTACTTATGCTTGTACCTCAAATTGTGCATTTGTTTGAAAGTGTTTTGGTGTAACAGTGTAGTTACTATAGCAATAAAGCCTATTTTATTTTGTTTACTTATATTTTGAGAGAGTGTGTGCAAGCAGGGAAGGGGCAGAGAGAGAATCCCCCAAGGCAGGCTCCATGTTCAATGTGGAGCCCCACGACCATAGGATCACCTAACTGAGCCACCCAGGTGCCTGAAAAAAGCCAATTTTAAATACACAATAGAGAATGTGAAACTCCTTTTAAGAGACTTAGTATCAAATACTGAATTACAGAAATACATGAAACAAAGGCCTCTTAGGGCACGTGGGGGGCTCAGTTGGCTCAGCATCTGACTCTTGATCTTGACTCTGGTCTTGATCTCATGGTCAGGAGTTTGGGCTCTATGCTGGGCACGAAGCCTACTTTAAAAAAAAAAAAAGAAAGAAAGAGAAATGAAGGCATCTTATTTAATTCCATCGGTTTTAAAAATATTGCATATCATATATAGGCATATATGTATATGAATGAGAAATCTAGTGTAAAAATTACCAATTAAAATCATTCATTTATTTTGTAATTGCTGGTTATTTTTCAAACTTACTTTGAAACTGGTCCTAAACGTCCTATCACTGCTTTTTATTTTTTTTAATGTTTATTTATTTAGAGAGGTGGGGCAGGGGGAGAGGGACAGACAGACGGAGGGAGAGAGAGAGAATCCTAAGCAGACTGTTCTGTCAGCATGGAGCCCAAACCCATGAACTGGGAGATCACGACCTGTGCTGAAAAGAAGAGTTGGGCGTTTACCCAAGTGAGCCACCCGGGCACTCCCTATCACTGCTTTTTAAAAATCCATCTCTGAGGGGCGCCTGGGTGGCTTAGGCGGTTGAGCGTCCGACTTCAGCTCAGGTCATGATCTCGTGGTCCGCGAGTTCGAGCCCCGCGTCGGGCTCTGGGCTGATGGCTCAGAGACTGGAGCCTGCTTCCGTTTCTGTGTCTCCCTCTCTCTCTGCCCTTCCCCCGTTCATGCTGTGTCTCTCTCTGTCTCAAAAAATAAATAAATGTTAAAAAAAAATTTTTTTTTAAATAAAAAAAAAATAAAAATCCATCTCTGAATCCCATATTCACTGAAAGGACGTTGTTTCCAGGGACTTAAGTACTCAATACTAACATATTTGCCCTGACATGTGTTAGGATTTCAAATAAAAAAATATATTTCCTCACTCTTTACAAAGCAATTATGATTCAAATAAGGTCCAGCATATTTATAAGAATATTATACTTTCTCCTTTCTTTCACCTCTTTAGTCTATAATTTGTATTGATGTTTTACCTCAACTCCTCCTTAAGTGATTTCTCTCATTTCCTGTACATATAAAAAGTTTCATTTTTATGACTACATTTTAGTCTTTCACTTATTAGCATTTGAACAAAAAGGAATCTGGTCGTCTTACATCTCTTTAATCCAACTTATTTAAATAGGTAAAACATGTCACTACTTCATTATGCCTTCCAATATCATATGTACTCACATACTGAAATTCATACTATGCTTTAAAAATTACTTCCTTTTATTTCTCCTATACACTACAGTTTATACGTTACATTGATTTTTTTTTAATTTTTGTTAATGTTTATTTATTTTTGAGACAGAGACAGAGTGTGGTGAACAGTGGGGAGCAGAGAGAGTGGCAGACACAGAATCTGAAACAGGCTCCAGGCTCTGAGCTGTCAGCACAGAGCCTGACGTGGGGCTGGAACCCACGAACCGTGAGATCATGACCTGAGCCGAAGTCGGACGCCTAACCGACTGAGCCACCCGGGCGCCCCTTAATGTTTATTTATGAAAGAGAGAGAGACAGAGAGACAGAGAGAGAGACAGAGCACGAGTAGGGCAGGAACAGAGAGGGAGACACAGAACTCTAAGCAGGCTCCAGGCTCTGAGCTGTCAGCACAGAGCCCAATGAGGGGCTCGAACCCACAAACTGCAAGATCATGACCTGAGCTGAAGTCAGATGCCCAACCAACTGAGCCACCCAGGCCCCCCACATTACATTGTTTTTTTTTAAACTTCTCTATGAATTAAGTTAGATTACCTATACATTTTACTTCAGAATGTTAAAGAGACGTTACAAAACATTTTAAAAAGGAATTACTGAGAGTGATGTTGGCAAACATGACAGGATGGGTACCTCTGAAGGACTGTCCCTCCACAGAACAACTAAAAATAATGAGTAAAAACTGTCAGAATCAACTGTGGGAACTCTGGAAAACAGTCAAAGCTTTATAGCAACCAAACACATGCTGAATTAAGAGAGAGGAAACTTAAAAGTGATAGACGCCACCCAACAACGGCAGACTGCACATTTGTCTCAAGTACACATGGAATATTGTTGAGGACACCATATCCTAAGACATAAAACACATCTCAATAAACTAAAAAAGAATGAAATCATACAAGTTTTTTTCCTTGGTCATAATGGAGTGAAACCAGAAACGTTAAATGGTGTAGTTGCTTAGGAAAACAGTTTGGTGGTTCCTTAAAAAGATAAAGAATTACTATACAACCTACCAATTCTACTCCTAGGTATATACCTTAAAGAATTAAAGCCAGGTAGTCAGGGTGCCTGAGTGGCTCAGTCAGTTAAACATCCAACACTTGGTTTTGGGTCAGGTCATGATCTCACGGTTTGTGGGTTCGAGCCCTGCGTCGGGCTCTATGTTGACAGCTTGGAGCCTGGAGCCTGCTTCAGATTGTGTCTCCCTCTCTTTCTGCCCCTCCCCTTCCCTCTTGCATGTGCATGCACTCTCTCTCTCTCTCAAAAATAAATAAAACATTAAAAAAAAAAGCCACGTACTCAAATACATATGTGTACCTTAATGTTCATAACAGCACTATTTGCTATAGCCAGAGGTGGAAACAATTCAAATGTCCATTAATGGATAAATGAATGAACAAAATTAATATATGCAAAGAATGGAATAATATTCAGCCAGGAGATGAAATGAAATACTTATATACACATTGAAACATGGCTTACCTTGAACACGTTATGCTAAGTGAAAGTAAGACATAAAAGGCCACATATTGTATGATCCCATTTATAAGGAAATGTCTCAAAGAGGTAAATCCATAAAGACTGGTGAGAGCCATAGGTCTGGAGGAGGAAGGAGAAATGGCAACAGGCAGGAGTTTTCTTTTGGGGTAATGAAAATGTTTTGGAACTTGATACAGGTGGTAGTTATATAACATAAAAATGCATTAAATGCCACAAAATGTACCCTTTAAAATGGTTAATTATGTTATATGAATTTCACCTCAATTTTTTAAAAAGCATATATAAACAAGTAACTATTAGAGATGACAGGGTCAAAAACTAATAACACTGCAAATTTAAGATTAGTAATCTTGGGGCGCCTGGGTGGCGCAGTCGGTTAAGCGTCCGACTTCAGCCAGGTCACGATCTCGCGGTCCGTGAGTTCGAGCCCCACGTCGGGCTCTGGGCTGATGGCTCAGAGCCTGGAGCCTGTTTCCGATTCTGTGTCTCCCTCTCTCTCTGCCCCTCCCCCGTTCATGCTCTGTCTCTCTCTGTCCCAAAAATAAATAAACGTTGAAAAAAAAAAATTTTAAGATTAGTAATCTTAAATACTTGTTAGAAATGAAGAATAAAATATACCAATTATGCATCCAATCTGTGACTTTGCCAGTGGGTAGGACTTCTTTAACAAGATCCACCAAATCCAAATGATAAACT